TATCTTATATGAAATATATATACACTTACGTACATATGTGCCATGTTTTGTTCGTCCATTCATTGGCGTACGTTTGGGTTGTTCCCACCTTTTGGCAATTGTGAACAATGCCAGGAGGAGCATTGCAATACAAGTATTTGTTCACATCCCTGCTTTTGATTACTGAAGTACAATTATTGGATCACATAGAAAGTCCATGTTTAATTTTTTAGACAATCTGATTTCTCATGAATGCCATTAACATTTGCTATTTTTGATTGCTTTGTTTAATGTGCATAAACATATTTGCAAAATTAGGATTGAAGCATATATACAAATTTGTCTCCTGCATTTTAAAAATTCAATATTGTACTATGAATATTTTCCTAAGTCATGGAACAGCCCATCAAAGCATGTTTTCTTAGCTGCTTAATGTGAGGCATGTATATCTAACATCAATATCCAATAATAAGGAAATGTTGGATTCATAAAGAGGAACATTTTCCAGTCACTCAAAATGACTTTCTCATAGGCTATCTCATGACGTTAGAAAATACTCACAAAACAGTCAAAATTCAGGAGATGAAACTATATTCCTTATCCATTTTGTACAAAAGCTCTCAGACAGGCAGGAGCTTAGCCTAAGAGCAATGTAAACTATTAGAGAGGGATTTTAGTAGGGGAGTGACATGAGAGTTGCATTTTATAATCTTACCCTGGCTGGAAGCAGAGGCTCATGCCTGTAATCTCAACACTTCGGGAGGCCAAGGGCAGATTGCATGAGCCTAGGAGTTCGAGACCAGCCTGGGCAACATGACAAAACTCCGTCTCAACAAAAAATTAGCTGAGTGTGGTGGCACATGCCTATAGTTCCAGCCTACCCAGGAGGCTGAGGCGGGAGGATCACTTGAGCCCAGGAGGTTGAGGCTGTAGTGAGCTGTGATCACGCCACTGCACTCCAGCCTGGGCAACAGAGTGAGACCCTGTCTCAAATATTAGTAATAATAATAATAATAAATTAGATAAAAATTTATCCTGGCTACCAGTTGCAAAGGGGTAGAAGCAGATACAGACCGTCAGAAGGTTTGTGATAGCCTGGGTCTGGGGTAGAGTTGTTCAACTGAGGAGAAGGACTATTACTGAAGTGGAGTAAACAGTCTGTGGAATGGAATGAATATGGTGTGTGAGGAAAGGGAGGTGTCAGTGATGTTCCTAAACCTTTGCTTTTTGTGACTGAGTAAGGAACACTGTTGGCGGGATTAAAATTTAGGGATGTGGAGAGAGAGGTCCAGATAGAGATGTCAAATAGGCTGTTGGATTTAAATCCCAGTGTTATAAATGTGGATGCGCCTAAAAGTGCTGAGAGAAAAGTCCACCAAGATCCTAACACAGGGTTTCTGTAAGCTGTCGGTGATCTTTATTACCTTTTAGTATAGAGTTTTATATTTCCTAAATTTTTTGTAATGTTCATGTGTTATTTTTATAATCAATTTTAAATGTTGCTGATATATAGTTATCATATCATTATTTATATTGGTTTAAAAATGGGAAACAACCTAAAATGCATAACCATGAGAGGAGATGGTTCAAAGGGTGGCTAAAGGGTTTTCAATCCCTTTAAAAAAATATTTTGAGTGTTATCCAAAAAGGAAAAGCTCGTTCTGTTTAAAAAAAAAAAAGATTTAAAAAAAATGAAATCTATAATATTGAATTGATTCTAGCAGAATCTGGAATCTAATCTATAGTATAAATAGGTAGATATGCACAATTAATAATTATTTTCTCCTCAATTCATATTTGAAAGAATGGTGGCCTATTCGTCACCAGATGTTGAGTTTGATGTATCAGCGTTTAATGTGGAAGTTTTAAAAATAGGTTAAATCCTTTTAGCCTACTAAGTTGCTTTTCATTAATGACCTTACACATACTTGTCATGAATTTATCATCCATCAAATCATTTTTTTGAAATGATTTTTTTCTAAGGGGATCATTTGCTGTTCTAGTGTTTTGTTTGCAGATAAAAGTACTTAATTACATCTCTTACCTGCATTACTTAAAAGGATTAAGATTCCTGTAAATCTTATTCATAATGTTAAATTGTCTCAGCTTGAAAAGATGCTTCAAATTCTGTGCAGAATGAAGCAGAAGTCTAAATTAATTTTATAAATAAAAAGGAAGACACTTTCTTTTCAAAGATCACTGAGAACTTATGTTTTTCTTTTCTGTCTTTAAAATTCACAGATTAAAATACAATTAATATTATTTTAGTGTACAAGTAAAATTACTCAATCCCAACATTTTTTGAAAAAACTTAAAATGCTACATTGCTACTTTGGGTTAACAAATTTACTTTGTATTCTTCAGCTACAGATGAGTCATATGTTGATAATATAACATAAACTGAAGGCATTTTTTCCTAAGGAAATGTAAGGGTTTAGATATTAAAATAGTTGTACCAAAATAAATATAATACAGAGAAGATTGTAGCTTCAGGCAAAGTAAAATCAAGCATAGTTAAAGATTCTAAAAATTAACAGTATAATTGTTTCTGTATAAGCATTATACAGAAACATTAAGGTCTTTCCAGCTTTGTATTTGAGCGATGATTTCTCCCACAAAGGTGATGTATGAAGCTTTTTTTTTCACTTTTTATTGAGGTAAAATAGACATAGAGAAACACATACACATCATAAATGTATGTACAGTGTGATGAATTTTCACATCCTGAACACAGTCACATCCCCAGAACCCAGCTTTATGGAGAAGCGTTCCTAGTGCCCGAGGAGCTCTGCTGTGTGCTCCCTTGTAGTCATGTCCTTTCCCACCCTCGGAGTAGTCAGACTCTGACTTCTAACAGTACAGAAGTTAGGGACAGAGTTAATCAGTTTTACACTTTATACAAGTGGAAACATTCTCTTTTGCTTCTGGCTTTTTACTTTTAACATTATGTTTTGAAGATTGATTCATTGTTGCATGTAGCAAGTTCACTTGCTGAGTAATGTTCCATTGTGAGATTATATCACAACTTACTTATCTATTCTAGATAAGTAATTTATGGACATTTGAGTAATTTCCAGCTTAGAGCTTTCACAAATAGTATTGTTATGAATGAACATCCTAGTGCATGTCTTTTATGGATATGCGTACACATTTCTACTGGGTATACATAGCTAGGAGTAGAATTGCCTTGACCTAGGAGATGCATATGCTCAACTTTAATAGACACTGCAAAATAGATTTTCAAAATTTTTGTACTTAGGCTCAAGTTTAATAGTGTTCTACCATTTCAGAAATGTTAGTTTTCTGAAATCCCACAAGCCTTTTGCTTATTATTTCTTACTCATGGTACCTGATAATTTTCTATTTTGTACTATAGTTATTTATCCACACCTTATCTCCTTTCTAGATTGTCAGCTCCTTACAGAAATTGTCTTATTCATCTTTTTATTTCTTATTTATGTTTTTATTTCCCAAAGTACCTTACACAATTCCTTGCATTGAATAGGCTCTAAACTAAATATTTTTATGTGAATAGATGAGTAAATGAAAAATTACATGCAGTATTAATATTAGGAAAGTTTATAAATTGCAGAAATACAAATGGTATATGCAGAAAACTTCAAGAGATCTTAAAGTAAGTGCTAGACAGAATTAATATGTTAATATTTGTTCATAGCTCTTCTGAACTTTGTAAGAGAATCTTACATACTTTTGTATGGGCCAGTTTAGTGTAAAGTTGAATTGTGGGTTTTTAACTACTAGACTTAAAGCCTGGCGTTACTCCCATATACAAGCATGTGAATGTTATGTAACAGTGAGCAACGTTTGTTAGCTATGAATTTGTAGGGTAAAGAGAGAGTGCACGTGAAGCTGTGTGTCAGAGCAGTCGTGACAACATTATAACTGATTGGGTTGTAGCTTTCTTCCTTTCTCCAGATTCTTCGAAGGCAAGAAGTAGTGATTTTACCATATCATGGGAAAAACCAGTAAGAGTTTTGTGCACCAACTAGAATTTTAGTGGCTTCTAAAATTTAGTATTTATTATTTAAAATTGCTGAGTTAAAGTAGTAAGGGTTTATAGCGGTTTTCTCCCTTCATACTGTGCTCCATATTGTATTCAATAAATGCGTATTAGTTGTATCTGTTTCTTTTTCTTTTCTTTTTTAAGCATTCCAAATACTCTGTCTTGGAACATATTACTTTCTAAGTCAGAAATTTTTTTTATTTCCAACTTTGATTTTAGGTTCAAGGGGTACATGTGCAGGTTTGTTAAATGGGTAAATTGCATGTCATGGGGGTTTGGAGTACAGATTATTTCATCACCCAGGTAATAAGCACAGTAAAGGTAGTTTTTTGCTTCTCACCCTCCAGCCTCAAGTAGGCCATGGTGTCTGTTCCCTTCTTCGTGTCCATGTGTACTCAGTGTTTAGCTCCCACTCATAAGTGAGAAATGCAGTATTTAGGTTTTTGTTACTGTATTAATTTGCTTAGGATAATGGCCTCCAGCTCCATCCATGTCGCTGCAAAGCACGTGATCTTGTCCTTAGGGTGTCTAGTATTCCGTGATGTGAATGTACCACATTTTCTTAATCTGGTCCACTGTTGGTGGGCATTTAGGTTGATTCCGTGTCTTTGGTATTGTAAATAGTGCTGCAATGAACACACACATGCATATGTCAATGACTTATGTTCCTTTGGTTGTATATCCAGTAACGGGATTGCTGGCTTGAATGGTAGCTCTGTTTTAAGTTCTTTGAGAAATCTCATGGTACCTGATAACTTTCTATTTTGTACTGTAGTTATTTATCCACACCTTATTTCCTTTCTAGAGTGCTTTCTACAGTGGCTAAACTAATTTACATACCCGCCAGCAGTGCATAAGCAGTCCTCCTTCTGCACAACTTCACCAGCATCTGTTATTTTTTGACTTTTTAATAATAACCATTCTAAATCAGAACATATTTTTTAAAAATAATTTTGTTGCAAAAATTGCAACTATGATGGTCTCTCTTTTATTTCAGTCTTGGCCTAACTACGATGATATCTATAAAAAAACAATTGAAGTTGCCACATTTTTAGATTTGCCTCGTTTTCCAGACATAACTGAAGACTGCTATCTTCATCCCAACATATTGTGTATGAAATACTTGATGGAAGTCAACCTCCCCGGTAAGTGTGTGCCATTTTTGGTGGGGACACTTTAACTACTAGAATTCTTTTTTTTTTTGAGACGGAGTTTCACTCTTGTTACCCAGGCTGGAGTGCAATGGTGCAATCTCAGCTCACCGCAACCTCCGCCTCCTGGGTTCAGATAATTCTCCTCCCTCAGCCTCCTAAGTAGCTGGGATTACAGGCACGCGCCGCCTTGCCTAGCTAATTTTTTGTATTTTTAGTAGAGACGGGGTTTCACCATGTTGACCAGGATGGTCTCGATCTTTTGACCTTGTGATCCACCCGCTTCGGCCTCCCAAAGTGCTGGGATTACAGGCTTGAGCCACCGCACCTGGCCTAACTACTAGAATTCTAATAAGCAGAATATAGAATCTTTTCAAATCACAGACTATTAGAACCACCTGAAAAGGTCCATGGTAACAAGAAACTTAATTTCAAAATCCTTAAAAATAATTCAGACCATTTAAAATAGTTAAAGGGACACTATTCAGAAACAGAGTTTTCAGAAATAGAGTTCTGTCTTGGTGTGAGGGATTTATGTTTGAGAGATTACAGCATTTGGTACTTTACTTTTAAAGTACCAAATGTTTCAATATGTGTTTGTAATGATCTGTACCCCATCCCAAGATGACACTTTTTAATATGCATGAAAAATTAACATTACATAATGAGTTCTAGAAACTAATCTGTGGTAGTATTTTTGTTGTTTGATAATGTATCCAGTCCATAAAACAAATGGAGAGCAGAATCTGGTCAGATCATATTGAACTCTAAGGGAGTGAAGCATAGAATGTAAAAAGAGCCTCACTGTACCTGATTCATAGTATACCAACACACAGGTAACCTCAGTGGAATCTGCTGGTGGAATCCAGTCCTGAATTTCTTGTTAGACTAGAAATGTGAGAAATTTTGGACTTATATTCTTAAGAGAAAATACAAACATGGTGTGACTATACCATTGCTGAAGCAAGGTAAAAAATGTGATTGAATGTATTGTTAATAGGAGAGTAAAACACATGTGTTATGTGAAAAAAGCAATATACAAAATTGTATGCACAGTAACTATAAATATGAATATATATAGTAACATGTATTGTCATAATTTAAAAATATTTTTTAAAACAGAAACCAAAATAATTTAAACTGTTCAAATGTAACATTTCTAAAGCCAAGGAATATGGCTCTTATTGAGATTCCAGAAATCAGTAGTAATTATTTGATTAAGATTCCAGAATTTGGAAGATCTCATTTCTGCATTTGGACATGTTATATAGATCAGAATTACTGCTTTGGATTTTTTTTTTTTCTTTCTGCTGCTTTGATGGGTCTCTCAAGTACGGAAAGTTCTTGTATGCTGTCTTATATTCTAAAACCTGAGTTTATAGAGAGAATACTGGGTTATGGAAGTAATACCAGGGATTATCAAAATATATCTGATGCAGTCTGGTTAATAGCAAGCAAGCATCTATCTCACATGTTTGTTACTGGACAGAGAGGGGATAGTGGGTGTTCTGGTGCATATGTATAGTTGAACAGCATTTCTTGCCTAACATTTCCTGAGAGTGAGGAGTAGAAATAAATCCATTATGAGATGCAGAGAGAGATTATTATCGTTTGATATTTATTAAGTGAATTTTTGGAGGCAGTATTATAAAAAATGAAGGTAGAAAAATTTCACTTCTCACAGTCTGTTCAATAGAAATAATTTGAAATATAGAAAAAAAATCACACATAAATGTTATTAGTCTCTTTATACTATTGAAAAATCAGAAACAACTTAAATATCCAAAAGAAAGGGAAGGGTTATGTAAACAGTGGTGTGTATGTTTAGTGGAACATTATGTATGTATCTTTTAAAATAATGTTTATGAAGAGTTCATAAAAGCATGGAAAATGTTTATGTTGTAATAAAAAGGCAAACAAACCAAATCACAAAATTATATATAACCTAACCACAGCTACATCAAATGAAGATATTCATGAAAAAATTAGAAGTAAATATACCAAAATGTTAAAGTGGCTATTTCTAAGTTAGGGTAACACATGTTATTTTTTCCTTCTCCTACCTTTATGTATCTCACAAATATCCCGTATTCAGTTTTATTATTTAGTAGTGGGCATGGGGAGAGCAGTACACTTTTTCTTTTTTTTTAAAGATAGGGTCTTGTTGTGTTGACCAGGCTGAAGTGCAGTGGTGTGATCATAGCTTATTGCAACCTCAAACTGCTGGACTCCAGTGATCCTTCCACCTCAGCCTCTCTAGTAGCTGAGTCTACAGGCATGCACCACCATACCTGTGGCTATTTTTTTAAAATTATTATTACTTTTAGTAGAGATGAGGTCTCACCCTGTTGTTTGGGCTGGTCTTGAACCTCCGGGCTCAAGCCATCTTCCTGCCTTGACCTCCCAAAGTGCTGGGATTACATGCGTGAGCCACCAAGCCTGGCTTATTTTTTTAAACAAAATATATCTACAAATTAAGTTGTGATAGTTCCCGTACCTTAGGATTTAGATTCTAAAATGTTTACAGTTGGTTTGCAAACCACCTGTGCATAAGATTGTAAGAGTGTTCCCAGAATATACCATTTGTAATATTTACAAATACTGCTCTCAGTAATGCCATCAGTTTTACAGTGCCATTGATCAAAAAGAAGAGATCCGTGTATGTGGTACTTTTACAAAGAGGGTTTAGGGTTCCCAGAAAGCTAAAAGTGGTTTTAAACCTGCTGGGGCAATAGCCACCCCTCCTCAATGCCTTTAAAGGTGACCATGTATCTTCTGGAACTCGGGGAAAGGCTTCAGCAAGTGTGTCACACACACCCTGCCTGAGTAAGCCCTGCCCCTTTGATGGCTGTGGATGAGCTCAGATGCACCCTCTACCCTCTGGTATGATTCCTCCCATTGCCACCCACGAGCCTGCTGGGTAGAATTTCTGACGGTGTTTGTGATCATTTATGTAATTTCTATTTCATGTATGTAATTTCTGAAGTTTCCAAAGTGCCCATATATAAATTCTTTCCTATGTGAAGGTAGCAAGGGAGGGCAAGCAGGCTTCCCCTTGACAGATGAGACTTAGGGTGGTTCAGGGACACCCAGCCGGTACGTAGCAGAGTAGATTCCCACAGCCCAGTACATCCCCTTTCAAGGCCTTTGCACTTCCCACGCTGTGCTCCCTTTCAAGACCCTGTACTGTTCTTGCTACCATTCTCATAATTTCTTCCACTTGCTTTTTTATTAGTCTATTTTTGGCATAAGGGAAGCAGTTCAACATCTTAATTTTTTTTTTTTTCCAAGACAAGAGGCTTAGTCACCCAGGCTGGAGTGCAGCGGCACGATCTTAGCTCACTGCAACCTCCACCTCCCGGATTCAAGTGATTCTTCTGCCTCAGCCTCCCCAGTAGCTGGGATTACAGGCACCTGCCACCATGCCCAGCTAATTTTTATATCTGTAATAGAAACAGGATTTTGTCATGTTGGCCAGGGTGGTCTTGAACTCCTGACCTCAGGTGATCTGCCCACCTCAGCCTCCTAAAGTGCTGGGATTATAGGCATGAGCCACTGCGCCCAGCCAAGATGCTAATTTTAAAAGAAGATAAATATTTCAAGAAATGTCCTTTTTTAGAATAACAGTACTAATATGGTTTTGATTTTTAAATTATCTGAGAAGAGACTATAGCTTCTACAGCCCAATATAGATAATGGTTAAAATTTTAGTGAATGTATTTTAAAATTAATTTTTTCCATGTTTGAATTGTATGTGTTTTAGTGCAGGAGTCCTATCACTGATTTCTCTAGTTTCCTCCATTAGATTAATGCACAATGTCTTGTACCTAGTAGACACTCAGTAAATGCTTGTTGAATTGTTAATTTTCTGTCTCCTAATCTTTCTGCATCTGAATGAAGCCCAGGAGTAAATTCAGGTAAAACCTGTGAATTAAAATTATCTTAACAGTATAATAGTGCAGATTCTCTGCCTCACAAAGACCTGCACTGTCTGGCCCTGCCAGACTCTTCACATTCAACAATAAAGCCTTGTTGGGCTGTTTGCAGTTCCTGAAAGCTCCGTCCCATCTTTGTCATAGTCTGTACCATATTGCATTCTCATTACTTACATGTTACTAAACATTTAGCAACTTGAAGAAAAGGACTGTGTCTGTACCTTGAGTGCCCAGAACACATTAATTGCTCGATAAATGTTTGGTGGAAGAATAAAACCAAGTGAAAACTTTAGCAAAGCTATCAGAATCTGGTAGATATGAAAATACTTTGATGCCATATTTTGAATTATCATTGTTTTATTTGTAGGTTTACAAAGCATTTTTACTCAGTGAAAATTTTTTACTTAAATGTTTCAAGAAAGACATTAATTTTATATTTAATTTATTCTTTATCATAAACATGTAATTAGTACCAATTATGTGTAGGTTGTAGCAGTTAGGAAGACAAAGCAAGATTGAGTCACCCTCAAGTTTCAGAGGGAAACATAGGCCGGGTGCGGCAGCTCACACCTGTAATCCCAGCACTTTGGAAGGCTGAGGCGGGAGGATCATGAGGCCAGGAGATTGAGACCATCCTGGCCAACATGGTGAAACCTCGTCTTTACTGAAACTACAAAAATTAGCTGGGCTTGGTGGTACGTGCCTGTAATTCCAGCTACTCGGGAGGACTGAGGCAGGAGAACCGCTTGAACCTGGGAGGTGGAAGTTGCGGTGAGCCGAGGTCACACCATTGCACTCCAGCATAGAGCAAGACTCTGTCTCAAAAAAAAAAAAAGAGAGAAACAAAACAATAAGCCCTTCATGTGTGCAGTAGACGGGTAAATGCCAGGAGACCTTCTTTAGCACTCAGAAGAGAGCCAGTCAAAGGAGGCTTGGTCTCCTATGTCTGTTCTTAGAGGAAGTCACTGATATAACCAAGTTCTGTAAAATGAGTGAGCTTCAGTCAGGCAAAGCCTGAGATGAGGAATGGGGGAAGAAACTGGCTTTCTAGGCAAAGGGGAAATTAGAATATGGCTTGTTTGGGGGAACTCTGGAGATTAGGCTGGGAGCTAAAAGTGTTAATGAGTTCATGAGAGCAGGGAAATAGATGATTGGCCCACAGGGGAGTAAGACTAGAGAAAGGGAGAGCAGTTTGAGTGTGACCTAAGCAGCAACAGTGGATGGGAAGAAAGGGGATGGATTGGAAGCAGTCAGCACTGAGCCAAGTACTCTAGTATATTCATTAATGCAGTCTTCCAATAGCTATGAGGCAGGTACTGTTCCTAATCCTATTTTAGATAGATGTTTTAGAAACTGAGGCACAGAAAGTTTATATAGCATATCCCAGGTCACAGAGCTCGTCAGTGATGGAGCGGGGACTCTAGTCCAGGCAGTTTGGTTCCGTAGTCTATTCTTAACCATGGTAGTATATGCCACATCGAGAGAATGGAATTAACAGGACCTAGTGACTGAATGTATGTAGGAGATTCAGTTCAATTCCATGCAACTTCATTATCTCTTATAAATAATGGCTGTCATACTTGAAATTGATTAGAGTAGCGTGTGGTCACATCTTAGATACTTGGATTGGGAAGTAGAAAAATTTGTTTAGTAACTTAAAGAGTTTTCAAAATCTGTTCACTTGAGGATAATCTCAGCTTATTCTCTTTATAACCCATTTTACAAGTGAAGAAACTGAGGCTAAGTGACTGTAATCCAAGAGTCACAAAGCTAATAATTGGAAAGCTTAAATACAGGTCCTAGGTTTTCTGGTTCCAAGTCCCACATTATTCAGTCTTGAGTAATAGGAATAGTCTATGCTGAACATATAATGTCTTTAGGAAAGCAGTATATCTAGTTAAACACATGTTGAGGGCTTACAGTGTGCTAGCCAGGATGCCAGTGCACGTACATTCCTAGAGAAGCTTTTGGTCTTATAAGGGAGTTAGTTTTGGGTGAGCACACAGTGCTATAGAAAAAACTGGTATGTGTCTGTCTGCCTGGTGCCAGGATGTGTCCTATGAATAGTAGATGTTTTAGGAAGTCAGAAGAGGGAATGATACACTGTTTTAAGATTCTACCATTCATTTTTTGCTATAGATGCCACGTTTTGGTGTTTTATTCACAAAATGTGTGTCTCTGAGTTCTAGCATAGTATCATGTTTTAAGATAAAGGTTATTTCATGGATATATACACTGGAATGGTCTAGTTAGCCAAAGAATTTAATTTACATTTTACCGTTTTGTTCTTCAACAGATGAAATGCATAGCTTAACTTGCCACGTGGTAAAAATGACTGGAATGGGAGAAGCAGATTTTTTGACATTTGATCCTATAGCTAAAGTGGCAAAAACTGTTAAGTATGATGTACAAGCTGTAGCTGTCATTGTGGTGGTCCTGAAACTGCTCTTTCTACTGGATGACAATTTAGAGTGGTAAGTGTATGTCAGTTTTATGACAAGTAACAGAGTTACTTAGTTTTTTCAGAAAGCTTTGAATGTCATGAAGACACTTTAGAAAAAAGAGCTAAAGAAAAACTTTGTACTATATTTACCTGTATGTTATCTCAATACAGAATGGAGACTCTCAGTCATTATAAAACACTGACTAGTAGTCACAATTATTTCTTACACAGTGCTCTGACTCAGCTGTTTGTCAGTTGTTTGATCGTGTTTTATTCCTGTTATTGTTTAGGTAGCAGTGTTCCTTGTTGTGCCACTAATTTCCTCGTTTTAAAGTATCTTCATAAATCCTGAAGAGTGGTTTAGCATTTTATCTATATCCCGTTAGGCTCCTGACATTATGTGTTCTCAAAGATTATTTTAGGAAGTAAAGGAATCTTAATATGTCACCACTTCCAGATGCCAACAGAGAGTGACAGTATAGTGTCTCCTCTTCCGTTTCAGTGACTGCTTCTCCATTAAAACTTGGTACCAATTTAAATACTGTTCTGTACTTTTATCTCAGAAGAATTCAGAATTTAACTTTCCAAATACATGACTTCAAAACAAATTGATTTGTTTATTGTTATCTCCAGGTCTTTGTCTAATCTTGCTGAAAAACATAATGAAAAGAACAAAAAAGGTATTTTAATTTTTTCATCAGTCAAATTCAAAGTGGCCATAGATGATAGATTAAAAGACAGAATAAATGTAGCCAAACAACTTTGAAAAATACACACATGTATACAAATCGTATATTGTACCAGTATTGTTTTTTCATTTAATTACCTACTTGTATCTCTAGGCTACTAAAAAATATCAGGGAGTTCCTATTATATGGAAGACCAGCCTGCTTTGTATTCCCATCTTCTACTCACCAGCCATGTTAGATCATGAATTCACAGGCGGCTTCGTGATCATCCTGTCTATTCTGATGCCTTCAGCCTTTGCTCTTATTGGTCCCTCTATCCGAAATGCTCTTTCCTTCTTACCCCCAGCTCCCATTCAGTCCCTGGTAAATCCCTCTTTATTATTCAAGGTGCAGCATAAATACCAGTCTTCTGTCTGTTCTTCACACCTGTCCTCTTTAAAATGCTTCACCTCTTCCCAAATCAGCACTAATAACTCCTGCCACAGTCACTCCTGTTCAGACTTCTGCCAGATGTTTAGTACGTTGAAGTCTAACTAGTGGCCTAAGTATATCTGTCCCTATTAGATTGCCAATATTTGTAAAGTGCTTCGAAGAGTATCTGTACTTTATAAGTGATAGGCAGGTAGACAGGTGGAGTGTGAGCTTCTGGAGGGAGGTATCATATTTTTTTTTCTTTTAATGTATCTTTAGCGCCTAACATAGTGACTAGCCTAAGAGCAACTCAGTGAAGTATGGTGAATATGTGAATTATTAAACTCAGTTTCAGTTTCTTAATGTTCTCATTAGGATTTAAGTTCATTGGTTTTAGAGGCTTGATTTTATTGGTAGCAATCAGTTTGTGTGTTCTTTCCGGAATATGTGCAGAATAAAATACTACTTTCTGTACATTGCTCATGTTGGCTTCTATGTAGTGTGAAAGGTTGAACTAGCTATCATCTAATACCCCCTCTAATGCTAAAAGGTGATAATTTACTTTGTAGACATGTAGAATAAACAGAGCACTTTGACCTGTCTCCCTTGTAAGCCTCAAAATAAATCCGTGCTGTCAGCAGGGCAAGGATCCCTGTCCCCATTCTCTCTGCTCCATCTGCTAATTGCCATCCCCCACCCCCAGCATTACTGACAGGGAGATTGAGGTTTAGAAAAGTTGTGATTTACTCCAGGTCAAAGAACCGTGAGTTCTATTGATTATTATAGTTTTCCTCTATTCTTATAATTCTTTTGGTAGTTTCCTCTCCTCTGTGGCTGTATGGTTTACAGGGTCATATTAGATTAAACAATTATTATATTGGCCAGTGAGACATTGAGAGAGACTACCTTCACCAGAGAATAATGGAGAATAATCCCTATGTGGAGTGAAGAAAAGTGTGAGGAGTGAGTTTTTATACTTTGCTGCATTCAGTTCTATTGTCTCTCTAACCTCTATCTCTTGAACACACACTTGCACCAACTGTCCAGTGCAGTCCACTTTCTTACTTGTCTCTAGATTCTTTGAATTAGGATTAGGAAGAATGGGAATAGGAGTCTGGGTTCAGGTACTGTAGAACCACTTTACACATTTATCAACCATTTGTTCCTTAATACATTACATATTCATCATATTGGAGCACCACCATGTGCAGGCACAGTGCTAGGTGTTGGGTTTGAGAGGAGGAGCAGACCTTCTTTGTAGTCGTAGATAAAATATGTGTTCTGTTCTCAAGGAGGTTAATAGTCAAGTCTAGGAGAAGCAGACATGTAAAAAGGTCGTTTCAGTATAATTTAGTTGGGGCCACAATATAGGTAGGATCTTAGAGGAGGGAGTGACAGATTGCTCAGGAGAGTCCTGTTAAGAGTAGAGAGACAGTGACTCCATCCCTAGATTACAAGAGCTAGTATGTAAATGTTTTGCTATGTTAATGAATGAAGACTCAGATGAACAATGTATATTATTATAGTGTGATTTATGTGGTTAATAATCTTGGATTTTATTTCTTTCAGATAAGCCATGGTTTAATTTCAGAAAGTGGTACCAAATTATGAAGAAAGCTTTTGATGAGAAAAAACAAAACTGGGAAGAAGCAAGGGCCAAGTATGTTCTCTTTCCTGGTTTAGATACACTTGCTTTACTTCTGTGTCTGCTACTTTACATTTGAAAGCTGAAGCTTCATCAGTATAGATTGATCTGTATTGACTTTTTTTCTGGAAATATTAGCCCTAAACTCTAATTAACTTTTCTCTTTTTTACACTATTATTAACCAAACTTTAGATTTGATGTGGATTTTACCGGTGATTTTATTAAGTCCTCTTTCTGTTCCATGATCCAATGCAGTGTACCAGTGTACTTAGCAATTAAGAGACTCACCTATACTTCTAATGCTCCTCCCTCTTCCCCTTTCTCATATTTAGTCATTTCTCATCTATTCTTTGCAATACTAAAAAGGTTACAATTGTTACCCTGCAACACGTGTAATTGAAATGTTCCCTGAAAATAACAATCCCTGTGAAAATTAAAACAAAGGAAAGCAGATAGCAAATCCATTTGATTCAGTCAGTGTAACTGACTTTCTCTGAACTGTCATTCTGATATGTGCTCATTGTGGTAGAGTGGAAAGACAGCGCTAGGTTTGAATCCTGGCTGCATTACAAACTAGCTGTATAGCCACGGGCCAGTTACTTAACCTTTTATTGAGTCTGAATCTCTGAGGATTTGAAGAAAAAGGTAATATCTCTGTATTTAAGGTAAATTTACAGTAGTACTAATTCAACTCAATAATTTTATATCCTTTGAGAAAAATCAGGGTTCCTCAAATTAGTTGAAATGAGAATCAGTTTAGCTCCTATTTCTTCATCAGTAAAAGAGACATAATAATGACCACTTATAGACTGTAATTAAGATCCCATTTTCCAGTATCAGAGTAGAACCAGATTATTTTTCCTCTAAATTTCAGAGAGCTTTTAAATAGAAGCACAGACTCTTGGGGTAGAAAAGGCACTGTGGAGATGAGGATCCATTCCACAGCAGGGAAGGGTGGCAGGTTCCCTCTCACTAGGCAGGATTGATGCACAATGAAGAAGAGTGGTGGAGGTGAATTTATTCCAACAGCCCATGGATTCCCAGGAAACCGGGCCCTCCTTCTCCGTCATCAGAGACGGAATGGCTCTTCAGTCAGTGGGCACAAGAACAGCAGCAGAAACAAGAGTTTGTTCTGTGTCTTAGGTCATCTTGGAGAATCAGCCTTCCTTTCTGTGGTGCTAGCTGGGGTTAGTCCTGCTGGATCCTGAGGACCAGGTGCTTAGGGGCCATTCCATCCAGGCATCTCAATGGTGACAGGGCTTTCCTTATTCCAAGACAGACACCAGCTTACACTTTAAATACAGCTCTTGGGAGGCCCAGTTCACTATTGCAGTGTTAATGTTAGTTGCACATTTAATACTTACCGACTTTTAGCTACTTTAGGGAATAATTTATCATCCCAAAAAAGTAAGTCTGGTTATGAAATGGCACTGTCCAGGGAGGTACCAGGCCCCAAGATAGAGGATGTCGAGGGGACCCCTTTCCAAGATCCTTCTTCCTAGAGTATGTGCTGAGGGCTGACGCACATGTGCACTGTGAATCACTACTGAGTAATGTGGGAAGTACTGCCAACTGCTGCTCAGGCACAGAGCTCTGGGGCGTGATGGTCACCTGTCGGGTTCACCCTTCCCCACCCTCATTTTGACATAAATTTCTAATTTTTCTCTTTGTTTCTCTGAATATTATCATCCTTGTTGTCAGATAAAAGTTATTAAAACATTTTATGAAAAACACTAATAAACCATAGTTGAAAACCTAAAACAGCATAAGAGGCTGCTTTGATGACTTCTAGTTGTCATAGAAGATGTTGAGAAAACATGGAGAAAAATTAAGGCTATGCAGAAAATCCCTATGCCCTAATTGGTGTATAGTGATATTGTGGTTTTAATTTGCATTCACCTGCTAATTTTTGCCTTTCCTTTTGGTCAGGCAGAAATTTCTTAGATATGACACCAAAAGCATAATCTGTAAAAGAAAAAATATTGGTAAATTGGACTTCATCAGAAGTAAGAACTTCTGCTCCACAAAAGACACTTAATAAGAAGCTACAGACTAGGAGAAATTAAATGCAAATCACATATTCAGTATAGAGCATTCTTATGCAGTAAGAAAAAACCATTTTTTTAAGTGGAAAAAAGATTTGAAAAGACATTTTACCATAGATGACATCAAGATGACATGTGAAAAGATGTTTAACATCATTAATAGGGAATCGTAAATTAAAACCACAATGACATATCATTATACACCAATTGGAATGGTTCAAAACAAAACAAAAACAAAAACTGATCATGCCAAGTGTGGGAATTCAAAATGGTACAGCCATTTGGCAGTTTCTCAAAGTTAAACATACTTTTATTATGTTATCAATATTTTTCACTCCTAGATATTTACCCTACTGAAATGAAAATGAGCTCACACAAAAATCTGCATAGGAATGTTTCTGATGGTTTCGTTCATAATTGCTAAAAACTGGGAACAACCCACATATTCTTCAACTGGTGGCTGGATAAAGTGTGTTATATCCATACAGTGGGTAGCAATACAGACTTCTGACGCATCCAGCAATCTGAGTGAATCTTAAATGTGTTATGCTACATGAAAGACTCAAAAGGTTACTTATACTATGATTCCGTTTATATGACATTCTGGAAAAGGCTAAACTATAGGGACAGAAAAACAGGCCGGTAGTTGCCTGAGGTCAAGGGTTGACTGTCAAGGGATATGGGAGATTTTGGAGTGATGGAACTGTTCTGCATTGTACTTGTGAATACACAACTGTATGTGTTTGTCAATGCTAGCAGAACTACACTGAAAAGAGTACATTTTAGGCTGGGCGTAGTGGCTCACGCCTGTAATCCCAGCACTTTGGGAGGCCAAGGTGGGCGAATCATGAGGTTAGGAGTTTGAGACCAGCCTAGTCAACATGGTGAAACCTCAACTCTACTAAAGATACAAAAAATTAGCTGGGTATAGTGGTGGGCACCTGTAATCCCAGCTACTTGAGAGGCTGAGGCCGGAGAATCGCTTGAACCCAGGAGGCGGAGATTGCAGTGAGCTGCGATCACGGCACTCCAGCTAGGGTGACAGTGAGACTCCATCAAAAAAGAAAAAAAGAGTAAATTTTACTGAATGTAAATTATACCTTAATTTTTTTAAATGGGAAAACAAATGATATGCAGACAGGAAAGAAGCATATGGATAACATCTAGCTGGAAAACATGAGGTCTTTGTGTTGTGTCTCTTTTTGTAGCTTCATGTAATGGGAAGAGGCAAGCAAGGTTAAGTCGATTTTGGAATAAGCTTCGGTTTCAGGTCTCTCAACACGTAGAGTGTTTTAATTCTAGATCACCTTTCCCATTCTTGGGGCATACGACCCCAAGGACATAACTATGCTTTCTTGATTTATGGCATGACTGCCACCTATATAGGCATTTACTATAAATGCATAAGAAACATTCACAAGGAATGTTTAACAATGAGTGTGCCCAGGGATTGGGATTAGACTGGTTAGTTTAGGCAACTTCTTTATCCTTTGAGGTTTTATTATTTAGGAAAATTAATAGTCCAGATGCTGTGGCTCACACCTGTAATCCCAGCACTTTGGGAGGCCAAGGTGGGCGGATCATGAGGTCAGGAGTTTGAGACCATCCTGACCAACATGGCAAAACCCCATCTCTGCTAAAAATACAAAAAGTAGTTGGGCGTGGTGGTGGGCACCTGTAATCCCAGCTACTCAGGAGGCTGAGGCAGGAGAATTGTTTGAACCCAGGAGGCGGAGGTTCCAGTGAGCCGAGATCACGCCATTGCACTCCAGCCTGGGCAACAGAGCGAGACTCCATCTCAAAAAAAAGAAAAGAAAAGGAAATTAATAACGAAAAATATATTTTAAAGAATCACTGACTCATTTACCATAGAGTTAAATGACAAACTCTGTGATATATTTTAAATGTGGTATGGTTCACTGAAGTTTAGATTCACACAATTTTCAGGAAGACCATCTCCTGTGTAATATTACTTACATTTCTGCTGTAACTGATTATTAGAAAAATGTCCTTTCTGTTCTTAACATTTAAAATCATTGCAGAAATTTAAAATAAAAAGTCAACATCTGTTTTATGTATAGTCATGATTTTGCTGACTTGATCAAGTATTTTTTAAAATCCTTGAAAAAAAATCAGTTCTTAAATTGGTTAAAATGATGATTTGCTAAATGATATTACTAAAATATTGTTAAAATGTGTGCTTTTGGCCAGGCGTGGTGGTGGCTCACGCCTGTAATCTCAGCACTTTGGGAGGCCAAGGCAGGTGGATCACTAGGTCGGGAGATCAAGACCATCTTGGCCAACATGGTGAACCCCTCCCCCCACTAAAAAAAAGAAAACTACAAAAAATTATCTGGGCATGGTGGCGCCTACCTGTAATCTCAGCTACTCAGGAGGCTGAGGCAGGAGAATCACTTGAACCAGGGAGTCGAAGGTTGCAGTGAACCTAGAACGTGCCCCTGCACTCCAGCCTAGTGACAGAGAGACTCTGTCTTAAAATTAAAATTAAATAAAATTTTTTTAAAAAGTGTATTTTTATATACATATTACTTCCTAGTATTAAAAATAAATGAGTAATTATTATAAATACTACAGATTTTAAAAATACTTGCATTTCTGGCTTCCTATTTGTAATCTTCTTTTGTAGAAAGTACACAAATATTTCTTGAGTCTACTAGCCAGGCACTTTGTCAAGCACTAACTAATAATTCTAATTATTGTATAGGATTTAAAGCACCCATATATACGTTATCTTAATTATTCCTCAGAACAACCCTGTGAAAGCAGAGGATAAGTTTAGAGATGAGATGCTAAATTCATTGTTCATTTATTCATCCAATTCTTCAACAAATGTTTAAATGAGTTTCTACTATCTACCATTCCCTGATAACACTAGGGACATAAGGATGGCTGAGACAGTCTCTGCCTTTGAGAACCTCCATAATTTGTCATTCAAGGTCATGCCACTAGAAAGTGGTGGAGCCAGGTCTTCTGATTCAGTACTCTTTCTTGTTGCCACAGTATCTTTCAAAATAAGAAAGGGGCATAGGATCAAAAAGAAGGTGGATTTTTTTTTTTTTTTGAGATGGGAGTTTTTGCTCTTGTTGCCCAGGCTAGAGTGCAATGGTGCCATCTTGGTTCACTGCAACCTCCACCTCCCAGGTTCAAGCGATTCTCCTGCCTCAGCCTCCCAAGTAGCTGGGATTACAGGCATGTGCCACCATACCTGGCTAATTTTGTATTTTTAGCAGAGACGAGGTTTCTCCATGTTGGTTAAGCTGGTCTCGAACTCCCAGCTTCAGGTGATGTACCTGCCTGAGCCTCCCAAAGTGCTGGGATTACAGGCATGAGCCACTGCACGTGGCGATTTTTTTTTATTACACATTATGAAACTCCTCTGCTCTAGGGAACACAGAAGTGGTGAAAATGAGACTTAAAAATGAACATTGTTATCTTTGTTCCAGAGCAGCAATTTCTGCTTGGCAGTTTAGCAACAGCCACGAGAACCAGAAATAGAATATGTCACTTCCTTTCGGCCTTAGTCTAGGACTGATCACCCTAATCTGTAGGAACCTTAGTGTTTGTCCTGGAGGGAACCCCAAGAACCAGAGCCATCCAGGATCCCCGTTTCACAATGGAAACTTCCTGGCTGCCCTTCCTTTGGCAATAATAAGCTGAGTCAGGGCAGGGACTATTGGGACTGTATCATCCTGGAATTCAGTCTTTTCCTCTCCTTACTCCAGGAATAGAAAAGATTTGCTGGCATCAGGTGCCAGAGAGATGTATTTACTGTTCACTCTGTGTAAGTTATCTGAATCAGAAGTACTACTAACTTAACTCTTGGCCAAAAGGCATTGGAGGAAAGGCAAGGAGGAACAGTTGTTTCTGAGGTGGCTTCACTTTATGAGAATGAGCAGCAAGGGAAATTTATGGTGAAGGAAACGATTTCTATGTTTTTTGTATAATTAATAACTTCTTCATATCTCACAGCATCTGGGTGGCTTTTGGGAGGAGCACACTATTCTCTTGGCCTGGACTCTTAGTCAGTGCTTCCTTGTAGGGCCCAAGTTCAATAGACAATATAGATACGTGCCAACAGGCCATTCTAAGCCAGAATTGTACCTAAAGATCAGGAATCTCAGAGAGTGCTTCAGACAAACAGCTCTCTGAAATGTGTTTAGGTCTGTTTCATCTCCATCCTGCTCCAGCTGTTTCTTTACCTTGTACAGGTACCTGTGGAAAAGTGAAAAGCCACTCTACTACTCATATGTCGACAAACCAGTAGCGTATAAAAAAAGAGGTGAGTCATATTTTGTCTTGTTAATACCAAGTATCAACACAGTTGTAGAAAAATTAAATATCTGGACTTGAAATGTGAATGCTTAAGCTTTTTACTTTTCTAAAACAACTGTTTCAGGGCATGTATACATCCAAAGGAGCACCATGCTCTGCAAGAAATCTCTGCAGGAATCTATTTCAGGAACACGCTGTGCTTCAAAACACAGCCTCAGTTCCTGACAAAAATCTCAAGTCCTAAATCGCTATGACTTTGGGAATTCTTTGCTTATAGAATTCCATTTAGATTGTACATTCTTTTTTTTTTAATTGAGTAAAATATATGTGATAAACCATTTTTTAAGTAGTGTCCCCCATGCACCTCATGCAGTTTCATTTTCCATTAACGGTATCCCATCACATTACCACGGTACATTTGCCAAAACTAAGGAACCAGTATCGGTACATTGCTATCAAGTAAACTCCAGGCTTTGTGATTTGTTTCCTTTTTTTCTCCATTTCCAGAAATGGTGGTGAATTTACAGAAACAATTTAGCACACTAGTTGATTCAACACCAACTGCTGGAAAAAAAAGCCCTTCAAGTTTTCAGTTCAACTGGACTGAAGAAGACACTGAGAGAACTTGTTTCCATGGACACAGCCTCCAGGGAGTCCTGAAAGAGAAAGGCCAGTCACTGCTAACCAAGAATTCATTATACTGGCTCAGTACACAGAAGTTCTGCAGATGGTAATCAATGCTTTTAGAAAAAGCTACATATAATTTAAGTAATTAAGTGTGTAAGAGCCAGATAGGTTTTTTGTTGGAATTAGAAGCTGGTGAGCTTAGTCACAAAAATCAGAATTATACATTGAGTCTTGAGTAAGAGTTCTAGGAAATCTGGTAAAAATCAAGAAAGAGGATACAGGGCAGTTAGCACAAACTGTTCACAGTAGCTAAATTAACCAGTACTGTGGCAGGCTGGCAATAGAAGTGGCCGTAAATGTTGATCAGGAGAATACGCTACATTTTTCAGTTAACACTTCGCTGAGTCAGTTACCTTTCTCATGTCTTTCTACCTCTTAATACTTCCTTAAGCATTTCCTAAAAATAAGGATATTCTCTTAAGTGACCCCAGCAATCAAACTCAGGAAACCTAATATTGATACTATACATTTATCTCACCTATAGTCCACATTCCAATTTTGCCAGTAGTCCCCCCGTGTCCTTTTATAGCAGGATCAAGTTCAGGAGTAGGTATGACATTGATTGATTCTATCTCTTTGGTCTCCTTTCGTCTGATTGTCCGTCAGCCTTTCTTTGTCTTTCATGACAGTGGCCTGTAGTTTTCAGAATGTCAGTGATGTCAGAGCATGTTTCTCAGGACGGTTGTGGTGGTTCCTCGTGTTTGGTTCCGCATCCTTGGCCAAAACAAGTGCTGCGTCCTCAGGGTATCACTTTTCAGAGTATGGCATGTAGAGACCGGGGATGCATTTGCCCCTCACATGTTAATAGTGATCAAGGTGGTGCGTTGGATTTCCACAGTGTAGTTACTATGTTTCCCCTTACAACTAATAAAAAATCTGCAGGGAGATACATGGCCAGTCAAATACCCTGATCCTCATTAACCTTTGTCCCCCTGATTCCATGTATTATGTTCTGTCCTCATATCTGTTGGGTGTGGGTATGTGAAGTCTAGAAAACAACATGTGCTTTTATGATTATTGAGTCTGGATAAAGTAGGATTAAAGATGGGAAGCTGCATGAGGAGAGGAATCTATATAGAACATAGTGGAAAACCTGTATGTCTAAATAGTAAGACACACAGGCTTTTGACTTTCATCAGGTTTAATTAATTGTCAGCTCTTTGGCACACTGGCTCTGAGACTTCTGGCTTAGTAATAGGCTGCCTCATTTTTGCTTTACTTTTTCTGAAGAGTTTTATATTCCCCATAAAAGGTAGATATTGGAATAATACAGTATAAATTATTGTTTGTAGGTCATTTATTTTCTCTCTTTTCTTTTTTTTTTTTTTTTTTTTTGAGACAGAGTCTTGCTCTGTCACCCCAGCTGGAGTGCAGTGGCACGATAATGGCTCAGTGCAGCCTCAACTTCCGGGGCTTAATCAGTCATCCCACCTCAGCCTCCCAAGTAGCTGGAACTACAGGTGTGCACCACCACACCCGGCTAAGTTCTTATCTTTTGCAGAGACGAGGGTCTCCCTGTGTTGCCCAGGTTGGTCTCAAATGCCTAGACTCAAGCAGTCCTCCTGCCTCAGCTTCCCAAAGTGCTGGGATTACAGGTGTGAGCCACTGCGCCCAGCTGTTTATTTTTATATGACTCAGGAAATTTCCTCAGGCAGTAGGTAGTGAAGAACATATTACTCCCCAGAGCATGTTTGTTTTTTCTTTAATTGTACTGAAAATCAACTCAAAAAGTATTTTTTGAATACTTGAGAAAAATAAGTCATTATCCTGAGTCCTAGGTAGATAAAAAGGTAATTCAGGAAGTATGTTTTCCAAGGCCACTAGAAGAGAAGATTCTTTTTTAATAAGAGAGTGTTTTTCCCACTTCCCTTCTGTAGTGTTTTAATAGCTGTAGAGAGGAGTATATGGATCAGAAATTACAGAGATAATCAGTGGGGTATATTGGTGTTTACTGTAAAATTCTTTCAACTTTGCGGTATGTTTGAAATTTTTTATGATAAATATTGAGGGGAAAAACGAAACAGACTCTGGCTATGCCATAAAATTTTTTCCTCCTTGCCTATTTTAAGTTTTAGTTCAGTTTTATCTAATAATAGCAAAAAGGCCGTTCAATAAAACAGTTTTGTGACTCTGAAGTTACTTTATCTTTCCGTGTCTTCCTGTTAAAAGGACTAGACTAATATTCCCTGACTAAAGTTCTCAGTAATTAACTGTGAAAAATAAAAGCATAAAGGCTTTTCTCATTGAGACTATTTTTAACGCACTCTCATCCCCATATTAACATGGAAATATCCTAAGAGGAAATTGTCCAGTGCTAAAAGAACTTGCTATAGAATCATAGAATCGGGCCATTTCCATCCCAGCTCTACCACTTGCTCATTACAGGAAGGTTACTCACCATCTCTACAGCTGTGCAGGCCCAGTTGTAAAAGTGGGGATAATACCGATCTCCTCCTCTCAAAACCTCCAGTGACTCCCATCTAACTGAAAGAAAGATCCAAAAACACTGTGGAGCTGACATGGCCATCTTGACCTGCCCTCTGCTGTCCCCTGACCTCCCTGCTGTCACCCTCTGTTCACAGTGACCTCCTAGCTGCTCCTCGAACTTAACAGACACTCCCTACATAGGGCTTTGTACCTGCTGTGCTTCCTGCCTAGAATGCTCTTTCCCACATATATTCACATGGGCTCACTTCTTTCAGGTTTTTGCTCAAATTTCACTTCCTTGGAGAGGTTTTTCTTAGCCATCCTGCCTAAAATAGCTCCAATCCTTCCCCCAACACCCCTCATCATTCTGTCCCCTGCTCTATTTCATTTTTCTCTGTAGTTTTCATCACTATTTAATAGAATATATTATTATGTATTTATTTTGCTTGTTCCTCCATCTCCCCACACTAGAATGTAAGGGCTTTGTGAATGTAAGGACTATTACAATATAAGGACTGTTTTATTTAAAGAAAGATCCCAGCTTTCAGGTTCCATAGATAGCAAAAAAAAAAAAAAAAAGAAAGAAAAAAGGAAAGATCCCAGCAGCTAGACCACTGCCTAGCACAGAGTCAGTACCCACCAAGTATTTATTAAATGGATGAATGAAAAATAGGGCCTGCCTTGGGTTCTTGTGAGAATTGAATGAGATATTTGATGTGTGTCACACAGTAAGTGTACTCAATAAAAGATGACTATGACCATTATTATTTTAAACAAAACTAATTTTCTGTTAAAGAATTTTATTTCCTGGTCTTGGCGTGGTGACTTCGCCTGTAATCGCAGCACTTTGGGAGGACAAGGCAAGTGGATCACTTGAGGCCAGCAGTTTGAGACCAGCCTAGCCAACATGGCAAAACCCTGTCTCTACTAAAAATGCAAAAATTAGCCAGGCGTGGTGTTGCACATCTGTAATCCCAGCTACTGGGGAGTCTGAGGCATGAGAATCACTTGAACCAGGAGGCAGTGGTTACAGTGACACAAGATCACACCACTACACTCCAGCCTGGGCGACAGAACAAGACTCCCTCTCCAAAAAGAGAGAATTTTATTTCCTAAGTTGTTATCAGTCAAAGATCATTGAACTATAATTACAGTAAAACTCTGTCTCAAAAAAGAAAATATAGTAGGAGATGTTAAAATGAAGTTGTCTATATTAAGATTTGCTGCTTAAAAAAAAAGTTGAGCTGCATCTTTAATGATTCAAGAGTAGAACTCTCTTAACAGCAGCGACAGGGCAAGGCCAGAACCCCAACCCAGGGTCAGCTGCACATCTGAGGTCATCGATTCCTTTGCATTGGTCATGGCAATCCGTTTCAGATTTTATCCTGAAGAGGAGAAATGGTTGTAGTTCTGATCATTGAAGAGCGCTTGCCTCGACTCCAAGTGAAGACATGGTGTGCCACATGCCCTGCTCCTCCAGCTGCAGAGTTGGTCCTGAGCAGCTTATGGCATGATCCGTACCTTTGTGGTTTTTCACGGGGCACGAGGGGGGATTGTGGATGATTTCAGACTTAATACTGCAGTATAATGCAGTGAGTTATACATAGAGCTTAGTATAGTCAGTGATGAAACTGCTGAGACTTTTTTTTTTTTTTTTGAGACAGAGTTTCGCTCTTGTTACCCAGGCTGGAGTACAATGGTGCGATCTTGGCTCACCACAACCTCCACCTCCTGGGTTCAGGCAATTTTCCTGCCTCAGCCTCCTGAGTAGCTAGGATTACAGGCACGTGCCACCATGCCCAACTAATTTTTTTTTGTATTTTAGTAGAGATGGGGTTTCACCATGTTGACCAGGATGGTCTCAATCCCTTGACATCGTGATCCACCCGCCTCGGCCTCCCAAAGAAGATTTTTTTCTCTGTATGAACTATAGAACTAAATTCAAACTGTATGAAGTTTTAGTGATACTATGACTTTAGGCACCAAACTTATCTGTTAACCTTACCTCTTCTAGACCAGAGCCTAGAACTGCAGAGTAAGTAAAAGAGGCTTCAGCTGGGCGGTAAAAATGTCACAGAGACCGTGACTAAAACTCAGCCTCTTTCTCAGAGAGCTCCTTAGACCCTCACTCAGAATCCCTGATTCTGCCCTTTAGGCTGAGTTGTCTGATTTCCAGACTCCTCATCATCAAAGAAACAAAAAAGGAGGGCTCCAAGAGGTGCTCTGCTGATAGACATCTTGATGGAAAGCATAAATGACACCCTTTGACAACAGTAGGGGAGCCAGCATCAGAATCCAAAGCAGACAGAGCTCCAATCACAGAGGCTCAGGTTCATGGCTCCATGCCACTAAATAAGGGGACTGCATCCCTGCTTCAAAGCACAGCGCATGTCCCAAGATGCTGCGTGCCTTCGAAGTGGGTTTCTTTTCATTAGCATGTTTTCTAATGTTTCTACAATAAAAACAGACAACTGCAGTAATATCATTTAAAGGCTAAAATATGTTGACTATGCTCTGTTTAAGACAACCATCGAAAATGGTTAAAATGGAGAGTGATGCTATGAGAGCAGATCTTTGGCTATGTAGAGAATTTTGTTAGGCAGAAGGACTCATTTCTGAGGGCTCAGAAGAAACAAAACATTTACTGTAAAATTATGAAAACTCTCAGAGCTTGGGAACTAAGCAAAGAAAGGCCACAAGAGTACTTCAGGTATTGGAGGCTGTTTATTCTTCCTAGCTAAGGCAGAGTTAACAATTTCAATGAATTGAAATGGCCTTACTATTCCCCCAGTTGTTGTAACAGTTGGCTAGGTCAGAAGACCTGACTTGTAGGTGATGGCTGTGACCTCCCTGGGAGAGGCACAGATGAAGCAGAGCAGTGGTCTCCAGTTGTATTCCACAGGAAATGGAGGTGCTTTGGCTCCCCCACAAAATTTGATTTAAATTTTTAAAATATATATATTTTTAACTATTTTTTAAACTATGGTTAAAAAAAAAACAGTACTCAAATATGTCATATGCTTAGCATAGCCAGGTGTGGTGGCACATGCCTGTAGTCCCAGCGACTTGAAAGGCTGAGGTGGGAGAATCACTTGAGGACAGGAGATTAAGGCTGTGATGTGCCATGATCGTGACTGTGTTTAGCCACTGCATTCCAGCCTGGACATAGTGAAACCCTGTCTTTGAAAAATGTCTTTGTCTAAGCCAGGTGTGGTGGCTCACACCTATAGTCCCAGCACTTTGGGAGGCCACAGCAGGTGGATCACTTGAGGTCAGGAGTTCGAGACCAGCCTGGCCAACATGGTGAATTGCCATCTCTACTAAAAATACAAAAATTTGCCAGGTGTAGTAGTGCATGCCTGTAATCCCAGCTACTTGGGAGATTGAGGCACAAGAATTGCTTGAACCTGGGAGACAGAAATCGCAATGAACTGATTATCATACCACTGCACTCCACCTGGGTGACAGAGTGAGGCTCTGTCTCAAAAAATACATATATAAATGTATATATGAAGAAAAGCAAGAGGCCACCATTTTGTGAGAATTACTGTAAATGGCTTATTTTTTTTGCCTTTATTAAAGCAATGAACAAATATTTGAGGCTTTTATATTTCCTACTGGTAAACATAATAAAGCATTAGCTTTATTATATAGTTTTAAAATAGCCTTAAGATTTTAAGTGAATACAAAAAAAATTAATTTAAAGGATTCTAGAGGAAATGAACATTTTTGAGCCCTTGCTACGTGCTAAGAATTGGGTTAAGTGCTTAACATATATTCTTTTTTTTTTTTTTTGAGATAGAGTCTCGCATTGTTGCCCAGGCTGGAGTGCAGTGGCACAATCTTGGCTCACTGCAACCTCCGCCTCCCAGGTTCAAGTGATTCTTGTATCTCAGCCTTCCACGTGACTGGGACTGCAGACATGTGCCACCACACCTGGCTAATTTTTTGTATTTTTACTGGAGATAGGGTTTCGTCTTATGAGCCAGGCTAGTCTCAAACTCCTGGTCTCAAGTGATCAGCCTGCCTCAGCCTCCCAAAGTGCTGAGATTATAGGCATGAGCCATTGTGCCCAGCCAAGTGGCAGAGTTTTATGGTGCAAACATAGACATTCAGGAATTTAGGACCATACATGTTTTGTAAGTCATAGTATCTTAAAGTTTATAGCTTCTATGTGTTATTTGTTTACTTGCCTTTTAAACTTGATCATGGACAATTTCTGGTATACTCAGAAGTAGAGTAGTATGAAGAACCCCCCATCTCTGTTACGCTTGTGACATGGCAAGACTTGCTTCACCCAGGCTCCAGCTCACTCTACTCCTCTGCCCCCTATTATTTGGAAGCAGACCTCAAACATCATATTTTTAAAAGTAAAACTGTAATACCATTAATCACATATAAAAAAATAGTAATTTCTTAATATTATCAAACATGCAGTCAATGGTTAGATTTTCCCAACTGTCATATAATTTTTTAAATGAATTTAACTCAGAATCCAAATCAGGCTCATATATTGCAGGTGGTTGACATGGCCTGTAAGAGTTTCAGTTCATGAGGAATCCACCCCCCCTTCTCTCACTCTCTCTCTCTTTCCTTTTACAGTGTACTTATTGAGTAATCCTGGTCATGTGTCCCACCAATTTCTCATAGTCTGGATTTTGCCTATGACAGTGCCATACAATACCATTTAACCTCTTCCTCTGTCCCTGGATACCCTATGTTTGGTGTAGTTAGAGTTTGAGATTGGCAGTTATGGCAGGTGCAGTGGCTCATGCCTGTAATCCCAACACTTTGGGAGGCTCAGATGGGTGGATCACCTGAAGTCAGGAGTTCAAGAGCAGACTGGCCAACCCCCTCTCTACTAAAAATATAAAAATTAGCTGGGCATGGAGGTGCACGCCTGTAGTCCCAGCTATTTGGGAGGCTGAAATGGGAGAATCACTCGAACCCAGGAGGCAGAGGTTGCAGTTAGCCGAGATCCCACCACTGCAGTCCAGCCTGGCAGACAGAGCCAGACTCCATCTTTAAAAAAAAAAAAAAGTAGGTTAAAAAAATAAATAAATAAATAAATAAAGGTAGGCACTGTGGCTCACACCTGTAATCTCAGCACTTTGGGAGGCTGAGGCAGGCAGATCACGAAGTCAGGAGATCAAGACCATCCTGGCTAACACGTGAAACCCCATCTCTACTAAAAATACAAAAAAAAATTAGCCTGGCTTACTTAGGAGGCTGAGGCAAGAGAATCACTTGAACCCAGAAGGCAGTAGTCCCAGCTACTCAGGAGGCTGAGGCAGGAGAATCACTTGAACCTGGAAGGCAGAAGTTGCAGTGAGCCGAGATCGCACCATTGCACTCCAGCCTGAGCAACAGAGCAAGACTCCATCTCAAAAAAGAAAAAGAGATTGGCAGTTAGCATTAGTTAGAGATTTGATCAGATTTGGGTTTTACTATTTTAGAATAAGGGAAATTGCTTGGTAAACTCTTCTATCGCAATACATATAGTACTGCAAGCCACGTTATAAAGTTTGGCCTCTTATTTTGGGTAGCAGTTGGGATTATTTGTTTTCTTTAGTTCGTTTTAGAATCTCTCCCTGTTTGCTTTTGTTTGCCTTGACCATGGTAAGAGGGTGGAGTGGTGGCCTATCTGGAGCGAAGAAACTTTGAGCAAAGAGTTGAAAGAGCAGTTCCTAGAACCACCTGTGGCCCTTGTGTGGTGGCCATGCACAGTGTGAAAATGTTTTCCTTTGTGCAGTTAAGGAGTTACCAGATTGTTCTGAGTTTCCTTCTAGCTCAGGGTACTGTTTTAAACCTAACCATATATATTTGCTAAGTTATTTGTGGGGAGGTTCAGGGATTAATATGTGCATTTCTCAGTTATAAGCTCAAGAGAAATTCTTTTTTTCTTTTTCTCTTCTAGCTATTGTACACACGTGACAACCTACGAGGAATCAAACTATTCTCTGAGTTATCAGTTTATACTAAATCTCTTCTCCTTCCTGCTCAGAATAAAGGCTTCCCTTCTCCATGAAGAAGTGAGTTTAGTTGAAAAGGAACTTTTTAAGAAAAAATACAGTGTAACAAAAAAGAAATCAAAATCCAAGAAACGGAGACGATAGTGAGAAAATGAAACTTTTTTGGAAAAAGATCTTAATAGTAACATCAGATTTTAATATAACATTCCAGAGAATTATGGAAAATACTGCATATATATGTATATACTCTGACACATATTTACATATGTATCAAGTGTGCTTAGAAAAATGTATATTGTAAAGCAGGTAAGCTTTGTTTGATTTTATTTTTCAGAGTATGAATATTCTAAGAGAAAGTTAAAACAACAATAAATTGTATAATTGTATCCAGAAATGTGTATTAATTGTCCTTTAAAGCTAAATTTTTTTAAACTAGATCCCTTCCATATTCTTTATTCCCCAGAGTAAATCCCAGATGGATCAAAGATTTAAACTTAATCTTTCATACTTAAAAATATAAAAGTATTAGCAGAAAATAAATACAAATGCTTTGATGATCTTGGAATGGCAAAGTCAATTTTTGCAGCATACAATGGACAAAGGAATAATTTCTTTTTTTTTTTTGAGACAGAGTCTTGCTCTGTCTCCTAGGCTGGAGTGCAGTGGCACACCCTCGGCTCACTGCAACCTTCACCTCCCAGTTTCAAGCGATTCTCCTGCCTCAGCCTCCTGGTAGCTGGGACTACAGGTGTGTGCCAACACGCCCGGCTAATTTTTTGTATTTTTAGTAGAGATGGGGTTTCACTGTGTTAGCCAGGATGGTGTCGATCCACCTGCCTCGGCTTCCCAAAGTGCTGTGATTACAGGCATGAGCCACTGCACCCGGCCTAAGGAATAATTTCTTTAATGTATCAGTAGCTCTTGCAAAGCAAAAGGAAAAAGACAAGCTGAGTAAGGGATATGAAAACATATCCCATTGCCTAGGCTGGTCTTCAGCTCCTGGGCTCAACTGATCTTCCCGCCTCAGCCTCCCAAAGTGCTGGCATTATAAGTATGAGCCACTGTGCCTGGCTAAGACTTTTGATATTTTTTTATTTTTGCAACTTTTTATAACAAGTTATGCAATGATTTGAATTATATGCATGTAGAATTTTGATCTAAAAATTTAAAGAATAAATAGTTAAAGGTTTTACAAAAGCAAAACAATAAAACTCTTTCCTTTTTATATACATGAAGAAAAAACTTTCTGGAATGATCTATTTTGCAATAGTGGTAATTTTTGTTTGGTATATAATAACTAGTGATTTAATTTTCTTGGTGACTCTGCATTTTATAGTTGTATATTAAGAGTTGTATTAATTATTTTTTGAGGTAGTCTTTATCACTCAGACTGGAGTGCAGTGGCGCAGCTGCAACCGCCACCTCCTGGGCTCAAGTGATTCTCCTACCTCAGCCTCCATAGTAGCTACAGGCCCATGCCACCATGCCTGGCTAATTTTTTATTTTTTTTTTGTAAAGATGATGGGATCTTGCTTTGTTGCTCAGGCTGGTCTTGAACTCCTAGCCTCAAGCAGTCCTCCTACCTCTGTCTCCCAAAGTGCTGGAATTACAGATGTGAGCCACTGTGCCCAGCCTGATTTGATAGTTTCTTAAAAGTGAAAACTATACCTACCATATGATCCAGCCATTCCACTACTAGGTATCTACCCAAGAAAAATAAAAGCATGTTTCCACACAAAGACTTGTATACAAATATTCATAGCAACTTTGTTTGGAATAGCTAAAAAAAGGAAAGCAACCCAAATAGCCACCAACAAGTGAGTGGATAAACACATGGTGGTATATACATACATACGATGAAACACTACTTAGATGTAAACAAAGGAACAAGCTATTGAGGCAACAATAGCCCTGCTCAGGAGCAGGATTTGGAGGAGGATGTAAGAAGCATATCTTTCATAATTTAAAAACCTGCTTTCTAAGATTTGAGATGAAAAATCTTTCTTGAAGATGAATCTCATGGAATTGACATGATTTGAAGTGCTATGGCACTTCATTTGAATAAAAAGTCAAAGTTGCTAACAAGTTCCATGTGCTTACAAATGTTGGGACAGCAAGCTCAAAGCTAGGAAGTTTTGGGCCACTCATGAATATGAAGTAAGATTAAGAGGGGAGAAGGGCCAGGAGAAGGACCTGTAATCCCAGCACTTTAGGAGGCCGAGGCAGGTGGATCACAAGATCGGGAGTTTGAGACCATCCTGGCCAAGATGGTGAAACCCCATCTCTACAAAAAAATTAGCCGGGCGTGGTGGCAGGCGCCTGTAATCCCAGCTACTCAGGAGGCTGAGGCAGAGAATTGCTTGAACCCAAGAGGCGGAAGTTACAGTGAGCCAAGATGGCGCCACTGCACTCCAGCCTGGGTGACAGAGTGAGACTGTCTCAAAAAAAAAAAAAAAAAGGAGAAGGAAATGAAAAATAGGGCTTTCCATACATTTTCCATACATTTCAAATTTTATGAATTACGATTGAAGCCTAATGATGAAATGCTACTCTCTAGAAGTCAGTGTTTTCACATCTAAAAATAGTATCATAGAAAAAGCTTATCTGTCTACTGCCAAAAAGGGAAGAGGGACTTAGTAGGCTAGTAATAGCACGTATTGAGCATCTACTGTATATACACATGAGGTGCTGCCTATAAAATTCAGTCTCCGCTGCTCTGTGAGGGCCATGCAGTCATCCTTATACAATAGGTGAGGAGCTAGGGCTTCCGCTGTGAAGTAGCCTTCCTAGGGTGCTCAGCTAGCACAGAGATGTGGTGAGATTTGGGCCAAGTCTCAGACTCCAGCTTCCAAACCACATTAAAAAAAAACTCACCTGCAGACTGCCTATAGCTTTAGCAGTCACTATGTCACCATTTCATTTGCATCCTTCGGGTGGAGAAAGGTTTGTGAATATTTTAGTCAATTTGATTCAATAGACATTTCTTGATTATTTATCACATTGGTTTTCAAAGTGCGGTCCCTGGACCAGCAACATCAGCATTACCTCGGCACTCATTAGAAATGCACATTCGCAGGCCTACTTCTGACTCCCAATCGAGAAATGCAGCATGGGTCCAACAATCTGTTTTAACAAGTCCTCTGGTTCGCTCCAGGCTCCACGGTGGGACAGTCACTGGTGCTCCTGGCAGCTGAGACAACAGACCCACTGTGGAAGCTGCAGCCCATGACCACCTCCCATGGCTCCTCTCAGTTCCCATGGTCCTGAAAGCCCTCCATCCCCTGCAGGGCTGCCCCACAGTGGCCTTCCACATCCTCCTGGAGCAGGGGGTACCCGCCACCACCAGGGCTGCCCCTGTAGCTGTGCCACAGCTCTTCTGCCCAGGCACCCGCACTGGCAAAGGGCACCCTGTAGATCATCTGCTTGAGGCCTCTACCTAAATGTTTGCCTCAGCTGTTTCTAAACTACAAAAGCGCACAATCATGAAATGAGGCAGAGGTGGGCTGAGTGCCACAATGGATGCCAAGAGGAAGAGGGATGGATACGGCACTGGGAGGCTCTGGGCACCACTGGAGGGAGGCGCTCAGTTTCCAGGCTGCCCGGCCAGGAAAGGAGTCGTCGAGTCTTGATCTCCTTTCAAGAGTGACTTTGCCACTAGAGTGACTTATATGTTGATTTGGATGGAATCTCTTTTATGAACAAATTTTATGGTTTTTTTTAAAAAATGGATTATTCCTTGGCCAACTACAGGGTGGCTTATGTCTGTAACTCAGCACTTTGGGAGGCCAAGGTGGGTGGATCACTTGAGGTCAGGAGTTTGAGACCAGCCTGGCCAACCTGATGACACCCCATCTCTACTAAAAATACAAAAATTAGCTGGGTGTGTGGCGTGTGCCTTTAATCCCAGCTACTTGGGAGGCTGAGGCAGGAGAATCAGAGGTAGAGGTTGCAGTGAGCCAAGATCACACCAGTGCACTCCAGCCTGAGCAATAGAATGAGACTCTGTCTCATAAATAAATAAATAAGTTAGATTTCTTACCACTATAGTGAAGCATAATTTTATGATTTAGGCAACCACCCTAAAGGAAGATAACAACCAAGTGAGATTCCACATGGTCTCAGAGTTCATAACTACTGCAATACAAAATCACCATAGGTATTGATTTTGGGAGTGAAAATGGAATGCAGCAGATACCTGTGGAAAAGAGGACTTCAGTTGTCTCATGTTTATGAGCAGCCTAAGCCCAGAGCCATGCAAATACATAGCATACATGTGCTGAAACTAAGTTACATTTCTTGTTTTTAATGGTCTTAGTATCGAACTTGGATCATCAGAGCATGTTGGAAACACAGCTCTGAGGGCCACTTACTAAGCACCTGTGCTGTATCGAACATTTTGTATTTGTTCATTTAACGTATCCAGAGACATCTACTCATTTACGGCTATAGTGATTCAAGATTTGGTCACAGCAGATTAAAACAAAATCTTCAAGTTAAAAACAATGTTAAAATCAGTCAATATATTAATACTATGAGTCTTTGCCTATGAGAATACAGAACATTGGCCCAAATATTTCATTAATCTACAGGGTTATCTTATACATGGGAGCACAGTCTTGTTGTTTGTGTGTTTGTTTTTAATCCTCTTCCCCAAAATGGGTTTCTTTAGGCAGCTTGAGACTTCTATGCTAGACTTAAAAGGAAAAGGAGTGTGTACCTCTCGCCTAAGACCAGTGGACATTTTTATGGGAATCTACCAATGGTGGCAGGTTGATGACCCTGTTCTCCCTGCAGGTAGCGTTTCTTTCTGGGTTCTCAGCAGGTCTGCCTGTCATTGCCACCCAGAAGTGAAGCCACCTTCTGAAGCCCAAACCTAGGAGTGAGAGGCCAGGGCCCTCGGGTACCGCGCAGCAGGAGGCCGGGAGTTCACCTGGTTCTTTGTAAATCTTTTCTTTTTCCCTCCATTGGCACAAAGCCACCTAGCAGAAAAAAAAAAAGTATTAATTCAATCCTATATTCACACGGAAAGAGAGCATGATTTCCCAAATCTTTAACAAAACCTTGAATAGAGTTTCCAAAGTATGCGTGCCATAAAAATTTGGTGGATTATTATAAACTGCAGATTGTTAAGAGTGTGTGTTTTTATCTTGAGTATGTAGCTGGTGACTTTTTAAAAAATTTTAAATGCCTCTGTTTTGCTGAAAGCTGAGTAAATTCACACACTATTAAGTCTCTCACAAAACGAATTCAAGAAGCTCTAAGTGTATGTTCCCTTGTTTTGTGCCCTTGTGAAGTATTTAAGTATAAAGGGCTCTAGTGCCAGACCTACCTGACAATATGCTACGCCTTGAGAAGAGCTTACAAAAGAGTGCTTTTATTGACTTTATAAATGAAGAGCCTGGTATTTCAGCTCACTTGGCCTTCTGCCCTTCTGAAACAATCATTCCCTTCTGGGACAATTAGTACATGTTTTATGGATATTTGCGCTGAACTGGGTGACTCGCAGACACTCCCAAAGGAATTTTTAGTTAGAATACCACTTAAACGCAGCCCTTTTGTCACCGTTGTTGTCCACATTAATTTAAATTGAGTAAGTTAAACATTACCTACAATGCAAAAGGTGGTCTCTAAATTTTAAAACTCACCGCCAAGTTTTAAAGTAGGAAAAAATGTGTTCTTTGCCAAGTTTGAGGATAAGAAAATGTTGTAAAACACGATTACTTGTTTTTACCTTTCTCTCCTGGGCAATTGCCACCAGAATAAAAATCTCCCGGGAAAGGTCCCTCCAGTCCCAAGCGGTCACCCTGCTTGGGCCCCAGACCCCCCAGGGGTAGAGAGGTGGTCTCTGGGCCTCTTCCCTGCCACTGTCTATCCTGCCTCAGCAGTTTGCAGTGTCAGCTCCTCCACTCCAAAGCTGGTTTTGCTGCAGTTGCCCCGTGCTCTCTGAGTGCAGCCCATGGCCCCATGTGGAATGGGAATCACAGGTAGTAAAATCAGGAATGCTGGTCTCGCCTGCTGCTCCTCACCACAGCCCAAGGGTCAGAGCTGTGGGATGGCCTCTGAGAACCCAACTCTATCACACCCTCCCATCTCCTGCTGCTGCCCAGGACGGTAGGGACCCAGGCTTCTGAGCCTATCCGCTCATTCTGTCTCCACTCTCTTTCTTCAATTCCTCCGCATCTACAGCACAGCCTATTTTTGACATTATCGTAGCCTACTTACGTGTGTCCTGGTTTACTAACTAGACAGGCTTTCATGAGACACGGCTCCTACAGAACCCTAGATCCAGCAGATGTTCAGTAAATGCCTTGAAGAAAGTAGTGACGAGAAAGGGGAAAATTACAGAAAGCTTCCCACTTTCTGATCAGATACTGCTGGGCTGTTTTCACTATTCAGTGATTTCACCATTCTGTGAATGGTCTCAGTTATCTAGCTATCTGCCTACAAATGTTGGTTTTGAGTCAAAGTTCTTTGACGGCAGAAGGGGGAAATGGGCCTAGGTTTCGCCCCTGGCATTCCTGTGGCCATATCAAATATTGATATAGTGCTTAGAGTGGGCCAGGCACTTCACATGTATGGACTCTTTTATCCACACTTTTAGCAGCCCTACAGTACTGTCATGTTGTACAAAGGAGGATGGAGAACACAGAGAGGTCAATTACTTGCCCAGGGCCACGTGGTAAGCATGGAGCTCGGCTCTGATACCAGGCTGTTTGGCTGAAGTATGTGGGCTTGGCCAGCCCACCATGCAGCCTCATCAAGACTCAACCCCTGATGATGTCAGTTTGGAATCTAAAGGAACTCAAAAGCTGCTCAGAAGAAAACTGGAAGATTTACAGCTAGCGTAGATGCTCACCGCCCCTCCTCCACACCTCCACCCCAAACCTGTTCTTCCTCTCCCTTTCCTGACTCTCAGTGACAGCCCCGTTCACCTAATTGCACCAAGTCATAAATCTCCAACCCCTCCCTCCCTGTCACCTCCAAATCTCATCCTCACTTCACTGACTTTCTACCACCAAGCACCTCTGGACTCCGCCCTCCTTCCACAGTCACTGCCCAGCTCTAATGCTCCCCACGTTCTCCTTGGGGCTGCAAAGCTCTCTCCTGTCCAACATGCATTGCCTCTTTGCCAGTTATTTTCCCAAATTAGATCTAAAAACCCTCGGTGATGCAGCATCCTCCTGCGGCTCCTATTGCCTAGAGGCCAGTGTGTTCTGAGTGGGCCATCAGAGCGTGGCCCCAACACTTTTCCCGTCCCCTATCTCAGGGACTCCATGGCCTTTCACACCCTGTGTTCTTTGCCTGTGCTGTATGCTCTATCAGAAATGTCCTTCTTCCTTTAGGGCCCTTGCTGAAATGCCATCTCCATTCAACCTTCCCCTCTCCGCTCCCCAGGCAGAATTCATGGTTTCTGAGCACAGAGCTCACACCTCTGTTAGCTCATGCACCATCTGTGCCACATGCCTGGATCTCTAGATGGGGCCTCCTTGTGCTGGCCCGTGAGCTTGCTGTGCACACAGATGCCAGTTTCCACAGGGTAGGTAGGCACTGGGGTCAGCACTCCCTCCCCAACCCGAGGGCTTGGTAAAGTTTAACATTAAAGTTTTATGCAATTAATTTC